CAAAAGATGGCAGTTATAGAGAGAGAGCCTCCCAGGAAGAGGCTGCTCTTAATAGAGGAAATCAGCCAAGCCCCACAAGCCCTGAAAGGAGGGAGCCAGGGCGAAAAAATACCCCAATCTCACACTCCTTCCGCTCTCTGCACCTGCTGGTGCCTCCCATAGGCTGGACTCATTTGGAAGCTAGAGGGCAAGGGAGCTTATGGGCATGGTCTATGGGGTGCAGAGTGCAGAAGGATGGCAGTGATGTAAAGGGACATGGACACTCACCAGGACAAGGGTTATGGTTGGCTGAGAATAGCTATACAGACTAATGATTTGGGTAGATAGCTGTCATTGTCTTCTTGCTGCATACCTGGCCCTTTGAAAGCATGTTCATGGATTAGCTCATTTGATAATCAGAGCAAGTCCATAAAGAAAGCATTATTCTGGTCCCATTTTACAGCTTGGGAAAACAGGGATTACAGAGGTCAAATACTAGCTGGTAAAAGGAAGAGTATGGACTTGAACCCTATGATTACATATCCAGTGCCCTTTGTCTACTGGACCATCCCATCTTACCCAAAGTGAAAATTGGTGAGTTAGGTCATCAAGCATTGCTAAAATGGAGAGAGTGAATGAAATACAACCTAAGGAGACAAAGATGAGATAGTTCCATAAGCCAAATAAAGTTATATCAGATAAGACATAACTGAGATTGAACAAACACTCTCCATTTAAAAGATATTAAAGTATAAACCAAAAGAAGAGGGACAAGGAGAGACAAAAAACAGAGAGAGAGAGAAAGAACCAGCCAATTGCATACAGGACACAGGCCAAATGTCTAATTATAGCTGATAAGGCCCCTTATGATCTGTACCTTGCCCGACTCATCTTTCCCCATTCCCCATGAGGCACTGTGTCCCAGCCAAACTAAACTTTATTTAGTTCTCTAAATAGCCCTCAGATCTTGCCCATGCTGTCCCTTCTGCCTGGAACACGTTCCCTTGCTTTCTATTCTATTTATCCTCTTTATCTATCAGGCCCTAAATCTGAACTTTCTTTCATCTTTCTTCCCTCTCTTGCTTCCTCCTTTCCCCTCTAACACATATTAATTCGGTGCCCAGTACATGCAGGCACAGTGGTAGGTGTTGATGACTTTGGTCCCCATTGGTCCCTGCCCTCATAGAGTTTCCATGAGGAAACCTTCCCTCCATGCCTAAATGTGGGTTGGAGTTTCTCCTGTGTATTTTCTCAACGCCTGGTCTACTCCTATTACAATATTTTCACTATGTGTTCTGGCAGAATACTCTGCCTTCTGGTTCTGCACCTGTCTCCTCTACTAGACCATAGGTTCCATGGCTATGGGACTATGTCTGTCTCTGTGGGTATTCATTTCCTATTGCTGCTGTAACAAATTACCACAAACTCAGTGGCTTATTGCAACCCAAATTAATGATCTTACAGATTCTAGAGGTCAGAAGTTTGACACAGGTTTCACTGGCTAAAATCAAGGTGTGGGGAGGCTGCATTCCTTTCTGGAGGCTCTAGGGGGAAATCTGCTCCTTGCCCTTTCCAGCTAGAGGGTTGTCCACATTCCTTGACTGATGGCTCCTTCCTTCATCTTCAAAGCCATCAATGGCTGGTGGGGTCTTTCTCACATTGCATCACTCTGACACTGACTCTTTCATCTCTTCCATTTTTAAGGAACCTTGTGATTTTGTTGGGCCCACCTGTACAGTCCAGGCTACCATTCCTATCTTAAAGTCAGCTAATTAGCAATTTTAATTCCATCTGCAACCTTAATTCCCTTTGCCAATGAACACTGCATAGCCACAGGTTCTAGGGATCCTTAGGGGGCCGCTATTCTGCCAACCAACCACACTGTGTATGCTAGTCCAAGGGCAAAAATAAAATATCTGAATATGCAGGTGGGTTTTTATGTGTGTGGAACAGATAGAATCTCTATACATGTCTAAGGCATGTGTCTGTTTAACACATGAATGTAGGCTGGGTGTCCACATGGGTGGCTCTGTTTGTGTGTGGTTCGGGGGCATACACTGCCTGATCTCATTAGCTGTGGTCCTAGGTATGTATGTATGTGTTGGGAGGTGGGGGATGGCCCAAAGGGGGAAATATAAAGATGGCCTAGATAACCAAGTATTATTTTCCTGACAATTCAAGTTGTGAACTATTTGGTTTATCCCCCATATGGACACTTAAGCCTCAGAGACCTGGATGTTCTATTCCTAGTGAAGGTGGCATCCTGCCTGGGCCAGGAAGCCCTTCTAGAAGGACCTGCATGAGTCAGCATACAGATCAGAGGCACATTCAATGCTTCCAGCAATGAGCAGAATCAATCAAATCATGGTTTCCCATCTTTCCTGTTAGAGTAACAGCTTCTGACATAGAATCTTGCTCAAATTGCCAGCCCATCTGCTACCTCATTTCACGAAGCTAAGAACCACAGAGCTCTTAGGGATCATCTAACTCACATCCTTCACTTTACAGACAGGATGGGGCCAAAGCTGCAGGCAACTTGTGTAGGATCAGACAGCCATCCTGGGATGGGACAGGGATGGGAACCCCTACTGCAATTAAGATCCTTATGAGGTGACTGTCAACTCCTTGAGGACAGGGACCCCACATTACATGCTCCTGTAGCACCAGGCTTCCTCGGGGCTTTCTATTCCCCAGGTCCTCATGTTTCTAAGAGATAAAAACCTAGGGATGTGCTTCTAGACACAACCTCTTTATTCCCAGGAGATGCTTCTACTCAGAATCTGTCATATTTTTCATTTCTCATGCGAAGCTGGGTAGGACAATCTAAAAATCTCAAGCTATGTGTTTCTGTCCTTCCCCTTAAAGCTTAGATGAAGCCAGACCAAAACAGCAACTTTTATTCTCAGGGTTTCCAGGCCCTGTCCTGACCTTCCTCAGCCCTCTGAAGAAAATGTGCTTTCTTCATGTGTTCGATCAACAATATTTGGGCATCACTACTGAGTGTAGTTGCTATGCCAGAAGTACGTGCATTACAGTGAACAAACAGATGTGGATCTCTGCCCTCAAGGGGTGTATGATCATAGAACTTCCAGGTTAAAAGCAACCTCAATCAGTCCCAAAGTTGTTTCATTTTGGAAAAAAAAAAAACAGAGAGAGAGAGAAGAGAAAGAGAAAACTAGAGATGAACACCTCCAATCAGAGTAGGGGTGGGTAGAGAGAAAAGATCATGAGAGCAAAAAAAAAAAAAGACAGAAGCACATGAAGACCCAGAGGGACAACAATGTGGTGAAAAATCTAGAAACATAGAAAGAGAGCCAAATTGTCTCCCTATTGCAGAGACCTCCTTTGCATCTGCAGAGGATCCCAAGCAAAGTTCTTGCCTCCAGGATGTACAATCTTTGTGTGTCTCCCTGCCGTGCTCAGGAAGAAGGAGGCTAAGATGGAAAGAGACCCTCCACAGAAGCTCCAGTATACACAAAGGAGCCCAGAAGGAGGGGTCAACAGTGTATAATCTGACTCTACCTAAGGGCTGCTCTGAGCTCCCCTCTTCCACAGAGCCCTCACAAGCATCTCTGAACAGAAACCACTCTCCATCCAGAGAAGAGGAAAAGCAAACCATCTGCCACGCAGGAAGCCTCACTCATCCTGGTCCTGTTAGCGGTGGTTGTGTGTGCCCTGTTTTGACACAGGTAAAGTACAGCAGATGCTCTTTGGCCTTTCTCTATAAGGCTGAGAGCAGAAACCATTCATTTATTCCATTTATCCAACCAATATTTATTGAGCACCTTAAGGATGATAGACACTGGACTGGGTGTGTATTTGCATCCTGAGCCTTGACGTAGGACCCCACATAACAGGTGCTCACACCCTGTGTATTGTGAACAAGCAAGGATGGGGATCCCTACTTCATAGACAAGGGAACTCAGACCCTGAGATAGTAAGGGCCTCAGAGAATGGCAAGACTCAGGTCTTCCCAGGATTGACCTTTTAGCTCTCTCTCTTCCCTATCTCCAAGCCCAGGCCTATCCACCCTCTATGTACACCCTGACTCTGAGCACAGGAGATTTCCTGGTCCTCAGGCTGGAACTGGTGCTCGGAAGGCCCCAGAAGGGAACCTCCCAGACTGAGTCAAGAGCTCTTCTAAGACAAGGACACTGTTGAATTCATCTTTGTAACCTCAATGCCTAGCTCCACTCTCTGGCATGTAGTAGGTTGTCTTTAAAGTGACTTAAACGAATGAATAAAGCTGTGTAGTTTTGACCTCTCAGATCCTGGAATCTTCCCTCTCATTCAAATCTTAGCAGAGGGGACACTGCCCTCAGCCTCATAGAATCTCTGCTGCCCTATTCCTGGATAAAACACTTGCTGACAGGCTACAGTGGGATCATCCTTGAGGTACGCTGGGACTTCCTCATGAGCGACAGAAGCTGGGTAAGTTGGGGAAGCAGGACCCTGGGCCAAGGTGGTCCCCAGTTCAATTCTGCATGTTGTAAGAGATGCAGCAAGTCCAGGCTTGGAACCTGGTGCAGAAGAGTCCAAGATGGTCGAGGTGCATGGCAGCAGAAGGTTCCAGACAGTGTGGGATACCTGAAGTTACATGAGATCCAAGCTGGTTGCCCCTTTATTCTGAAAAAAAGAACTCTGAAAGGGACACAATTTGTAGCCTATGACAGAAGAGCACTCCAAGTTAAGGAGCAGCAGGAAGCACAGAAGAGCATGGGGTGTATCTGGGGGACTAACCAGCTATGTGATGGGTGGGTGGATGTGGACCTTGAGCAGCAGGACAAGCCTGGGGAGGAGGCTGGAATAGCTCCCAGAGGGCACTAAGTGCTGGGGGCCTGCAACAGCCTGATTGGAAAATGGAGTGAAAGGGACAAGTGATGTCCATCCTGCAGTCAGAGCACTTTTACAGCTTGGCAGGTGATCCCTTTAATGGGGGTGAGGGAGTCAGATTTGCATAGAGACTACCTTAGTCTGGCTGAACTGCTATAACAAAATACTGGTAGAATGGGTTGCTTATAAACAACAGAAATTTATTTCTCACAATTTTAAAGGATGGAAGTCCATGAACAAGGTGCCAGCATGGCTGGGTTCTGGTGAAAGCCCTCTTTTGGGTTGTAGACTGTGGACTTCTCACTGCTACTCACATGGTGGGAGGGGGCTAGGGAACTCTCTGGGGCCACTTTTGTGAGGGCATTAGTCCCATTCATGATGGTTCCATCTTCATGACCCAACCACCTCCCAAAGAACCCACCTCCTAATACCATCACACTGGACATTAAGATTTCAACATACGATTTTTGAGGGACACACAAATTCATACCATAGCAGAGACCAACAAGGGGACTACAGCTGTGGTCTAGGTGAGAAGCAATAAAAGCCTGAATGAGGCAAATGTCTTTGGGGGAAGGAGAGACATGATCCTATTCAAGAGACAGGAGGCAGCGAGAATGGCCAACATTCAAGGCCTGATCAGGTAAGAGAGACCAGGAAGGTGGAATGATTCCAGGCTCCCTTGCAAGGGGCCTCAGGGGATGATGGTGCCCCACAGTGAGGTGGGGAATTTGAGAAGGTGGCAGACTGAGGGTAAGATCACAATTCCATTTTAGACAGTCAGGTTTGAGGGTTCCTGTCGGATACTAGGAGAGATGCTCAGGGGCAGGTCTGGAATTTCACACAACAGCTGACAGGACATGTGAATCTGAGATTCTGGAGCCATTTAACAGTCAGTAAGGCTCTCTGGGGTTGGATGTATGGGGCGGTGGTACTGAAACCAGCAAGACACAGAGGACCACATAAGGGAGGAGAGAAACAAACAAGGCACTATCCTTTTGAGCCCCAATTTCACCCAGAACCAATGATTGCCATTGTTAGAGGTTCTTCAGTCTTCAAACTGAATACTCAAACGTCAAGGTTAGATTCACAGTTTTTGGTTAAAGCAAGCCATTACCTGTCCCGTAATCCAAGATTTTGCTAAAATGTATTAGCCTTTGATTTTCTAAATCCTATTTCCTTAAAATGCACCAAATTTCTATCTGGGCTTGGAGGCAGAAAATTCCCACCTTAAAATGAAAAGTCAGTCATCAAGGCAGCCTTTTTCTCAGCAGAGGCTTGCACACACAGTGTTGTCAAAGGCTCCTTGTACAAGATCAGTCGGATTTCCTCCTTTTACCGATTTACATATTTTTCCTTCAGCCTTGGGAAGGAGCACTTCGGGATTTTCGAACTTCCTTCTGGCGCGTTGGTTACACAGTCACAAAAGGCAACAGGCCCCAGTCACCGAGGATCCCATGTGCCGAAGAGAAAACGTTTACTGTACAATTTAGCCTGCAGCAAATCCGCCATCGGCATTTTTATAAACCTCAGGGAAAGAAGAAGAAACAAAAGCTGTTGAAATGTGAAAATAATTAAGAGAAGAGACTTTCCCAGGGAACAAACATGGCCCACACTGTACGCAGGGAAGAACAAACAAACTTTGGGGAGGTTATAGAGTTGTAAAACCGTTGTTTACTTCTGAAGAAAGAAATAAATTTGGAGGGGAGCCACCGGGTCTGCAGAATAATAAATCAAGTTCCGGGGGATGCGGGGGGAAGGAGGGGCCGGACTATAAATCCAGAGTCCAAAACAAAGCAACATTCCAGCAGTCCCTGGTGGCGTGTGAACCTGTACCGGGTGATTTCTGAGATCTGGCCCCTGCCCAGTGTCACTGTCTCCACCATGTCAGCATGCCCGGGGGTGCTCCGCAGCGCTGTCACCCCAGCAGCAAAGCATTCGGTTTGGGTTAAGATTTCTGAACCGAAGTCGCAGGGTTGTTGGACTTTCAAAAAGAAAGGGGGGTGGTGGGGGTGGGAATCAAAACACCCCAGTTCCCTCTTCTTCTCAAGCTAAACTTCCCGCAGCAGTTTCAGCAGTGACAGAAAGCCCCAGCGGCTCAGTCAGGCGCAGCCAGGGCCGGCCCAGGGGGCGGGAGGAAATTCCCAGGGCGCAGGCGCGCCGCTCGCTCGGCCTGGGGGGGCGGGGGGGGGCGCTCCCGCCTGGAGGCCTCTTCCCGCCTGGAGGCCTCTTCCCGCCCGAGGCCTGAGGTCAATTTGCCTGCGAAAGGTCATAACTGAACAGCCTCCCGGGCCGAGGGATTTTTCTCCAGGCTAACGCGTCAAGGTTTCAGAGAGAGAAGAGTCCTGTTTCCTGTTAAGTCAAATCTCCTAGAAACTAAGAGTAACGGAGAACCTGAGTGAGGCCTTTTACAGGGACACAAACACCAGGTGTGAAGTGACAGTTTCCACTTTCAGCTAAGAGCCCGATGACATTCATCGTCTAGACCTTCAGACTTTTCTCTCTCTCTTTTTAGAAGGAAATGAAAGCAGGGGAATTGAATTCATCGGATACGGATTGAGCGCCTACTCTCCGCCAGCTACGCTAAGCCCGGTGAATGCATTGTCCTATGTAACCCTCATGTCAGTGAGATAAATACCATTATCATCTTACGGATGACAACACTGAGGTTCCGAGAGTTCGCGTGCCTGGCCCAGTGTCACATAGCCAGCAGTGCCTGCCTCTAACGTCATTTCTCTTAACCACTAAGCTCTGCTATTCCCACAACACAGGCTCTGCTGGTAGGAGCCATAGCGAACTGACTGAAGAATACAAGAGATCAAATTTTACTAAAGTTAATTAGCTTCATTAAGAGCCGGGTAGCAGTAGTAACAAATAATAATATTGCTAAGACACTGCCGATGATTCAGGATTTACTATGCCCAGGCTAAGCACTTTACATGTTATTTCAACCACCCCACAAAAGTACCCTCTGAGGGAGGTGGTGTCCCCATTTTGCAACTGGGCTGAGTCAGTGAGAAGGCGAAGAACTTCCCTAAGGTCACCTAGCCAGTAAGTGGCCCAATAATCTCAGGGGGTCAACTAGGCTCTAGCAGTGATCCAACACTGGTTCTGATGTAGAAGCTCAGGGTCTTGGTGGTCTCTGCAGAATATCACCTATAGGGAGAAATATTTTTTTGAACTTAAAATGACTAACTGTATAATTGTGCACTACGTCGGGTGCCACCTTAACTGATTTTGGTATGGCCAAAGCCCAAAGGCCTTTGGTTTGGGTTAAGATTTCTGAAATGAAGTCACAGGGTTGTTCGACTTTCAAAAAGAAAGGGGGGCGGGAATCAAAACACCTAGTTCCCTCTTCTTCTCAGGCTAAACTTCTCAAGCTAAACTTTTGGTATGGCCAAAGACCAAAGGCCTAAATGAAAGTATGAGAACAAAACATCAAACTAATTAAACTATCCCTTCTGATTCTATACTTCCAGATATAGATCCCGTTTTCCAGATGAGGAGATCCTGGTTCAAAGGTGAAGTGATTTGCCCAAGCTGAAGCAGCCATATGATGAAGTAACCAGGACAAGCACTGGTCTTTGATACTTTCTGAAGGGCTCTTCCAACCACCCATACTGGCTCCACGACCCATCCTTATTTCATTTCTGCTACTTCTTTCCCTCGCTTTGCTACGTTCATTTTCTGTTGTTGCTCTAACAAATTACTACAAACCTGGTGGCTTAAAACACCACTTCTCTTATGGTTCTTGGGGCCAGAAGTTGGAAATCAGTGTCACTGAGCTGAAATTGAGGTGTTGACAGAGCCACATTCCCTGCAGAGGCTCTAGGAGAGATACATTTCCTCGCCTTTTCTGTGTCTACAGCTGCATTCCTGTATCCCTTGGCTCGTGGCCCCTTCCTCCATCTTGGCAGCTGGCAGTGTAGCCTCTGATTCCGCTTCACTCTTCTTGCAACACGTGGCCTCATCTTTTTGTTGTAGGCAAATCCCCTTCTCTGTTTCCAACCACACATTACCTTCCTTTCCTTCCTTTCAGCTGATATCAAAGTTCCCTCTGCCTCCCTCTTACAAGGACATCTGTGATTGCATCTAGGACCCATCTGGATAATCCAAGATAATCTCCCTGACTCAAGAAGCTTCACTTAATTACATCTTCTCCCACGTGAGGTAATAGTTGCAGGTTCTGGGGATTAGGACCTGACATCTTTAGGAAACATTTTTCAGCCCACCATGCTTGCTTTCCCCCTTGAAAATTGCACGTTGCGTTATTTTTCCAGGAGCGGAAGTAGGGTTGAGTTTGGTCATCCACTTCTGTTGCCTTATCTCCTTGGTGACCATGAACACTATACTCACCTGTTTCTTTCCAGTTGTTCCACTTTGTGTGCCAATTGCCCTGTTAGAGTATCCAGTCCCTGATGCTCCTTTCTTTCTGCAGTTCTCATAAGAAAGCTTGACACAAGGCAATGCCTGGTTGAAAGTCAAGTATAAGGAATTAAGTTCATGAAAAGGAGAAAAGTACCTTTGGGGAGCTGATGACCTAATTGAGGGTGTTGCATACGTATGATAAATGATCTGGTAATGCCAAAGATTGTCCACTAAATGCCAAGTCCTGAAGGGCAACAGCAATTAAGAGAAAAGGGTTCTGTGAGCAGAAGAGGTCATGACAGCCTTTCTGGAAGGGCCACAGCCTGCAATGAGTTTTACACATTAGCTAAGATTTTTAAGAAAAGAAGGGAGCTATCCTATTTGAACATCTTCATGAGCTAAGCCTTTTATATCTGCCATCTCATTACTCCTTGCCACACCTGAGGTGGTGGGTATGATATACTTACAAATGAAGAAACTGAGACTTGATCAGAGAGATTGGGTCCCTTTCTCAGCTGGTAGATGGCAGAGCTAAGATCCAATCTTGGGCCACCTGTCCAGAGCCTGCGCACTTTCTATACTCTGGCACCCTTGGCCTTGGCCTGCCACCCTGGCTATAGGGTAAGTAACAGTAACATGGTCATGGTGTCCAGTGTACTCAGGAAGATGCCCATATTGCAACAGGCAGAGGAGCAGAAACCACACATGTGAACACGCAGAAACATGAACACCTAGACCAGCAGAAGTTCTATGCTGGTGGCCCACAGCCTGTCTCAGGCTCGTAGATGTATTTTTGGAAGGGCTCAACCAAGGTTTAAAGAAAATCTGAAGCAGATCCCTGTAGCTAAATGAAAAAAAATATAGCCATTAGCATGGTGAAGGGGGTGTATTTTCATTCCTGCCAGGCAAAATCAGCTGGCTTTAGAAAGGACAGAAGCTCATCACTTTGAGGCCTTAATCTCCAGACGTCTAGAGGCATGTGAGTTTGAGAGTTCTGGTAAAACAATATCTTTCAACATTCAGACATCCATTTGGAAAAACAAAATCAAATATCCTCTGCCTTCAATGTGAATTATAATTTCTAACTAATGTTAACATACTGATTGAAAACAAATCAAAGCACAATTATGTTTTCAAGCAAGACTTCCGCATAGGCCCATCACAATGTGCTTCTTCAGCATCACTGGTATGACTCTATCTGAGATGAATGATAACTCTTGTCAGAAGCATGCTGCTTTAGAGTACAAAACATTTTCATATGCCTTAATTTTTATTATCATCAGAAAAATAGTATGAGTTAATGCTTACTATTCCTGTCTGCAGATGAGAGAACTCTTTAAAATGGCAGCAGTACCTTTTGGAAAGAACACTCGTGTTTGGGTTGAAGCCCTTGTAAGGTCTCAGTCCATGGCTTCCCTTTCCTGGACCACGAACTCTGTATCATAAGGGGCTTGTCAGATAAATTGGCTTGCATGGACCCATCTACCCTGAAATTCTGTGAAGGAAGAGAAAACATTTATAACTCTAAACACATGCACTATTCATTGTAATGGCTTAGAATTGTCAAAATTTGGAATAAACTGTCTTGGTGGGAGGGCTTGGAAGTTTAAGCATCCATTTTGCTCTTCAGCACCAGTCCCATCCTGTGTCTCTGTTGGCCTGGAAGGCCCTCCTGGGTCTCCTCAGAGCCAACCAGATTTTTAGAAGGAATGAACTGCAGCCTGGGGAAATCTCAGTCAGTGTTCTGAGGAAAGTGAGACTCAGCGAGGCTCAGTAACTTGCCTGAGGACACACAGCTAGTGAGTGACAGTGAATCAGAGTTCAGGGCCCCAAGCACACAGGGCAAGACTTTGTAGAGAGTTCCAGGCAAGAGCAGTTTCTCCAGCTCTGAGTCCTCTTGGGATTGAATGTGAATTAAATTCAGATCTGTCCTTGCGCGGGG